CTTTCCCAACTCGATCGCTGACTTGTTGTCAACTCGAATTACAGTCCTTTCGTCTTGGATCACTCCCAGATGCCTTAGTAAATTTGAAAGTCAAACTGCATGGCACACACTCCAAGAGGCCGCCACATACTCAGCCTCACAGGTTGACAGAGTTACAATGGGTTGCTTCTTTGACAGCCAAGTAAAAGCTGTTTTTCCGAGTAGGAACACATAACCTGAAGTATTTTTCCGATCATCAACATCACCACACCAATCACTATCCGAGTAACCCACTAGTCGGTAGTCATCCGATTTTGAATAGAATAGACCAAGTGATAAGGTTCCTCAAACATATCTCAGAATTCTCTTTAAGGCCTTCCAATATGTGTAACTTGGATTCTCCATGTATCTGCTCGTTATCCCAACACTTAGCATTAGGTCGGGTTTTGTGCTTGTAAGGTATCTCAAACTTCTGATTAAGCTTTGATATCTCTCAAATTCAGCTCGTTCTCCTCCATCAAACTTTGAGAGTTTAGTGCCTGGTTCCATTGGAGTAGAAACCGGGTTACAGTCCTCCATTTTAAATATCTTTAAAATTTCAAGTGCGTACCTCTCTTGGGATATAAAAATTCCTTCCTCTGACTGTTTTACTTCTAGGCCAAGAAAATATTTCATCAGCCCTAATTTTGTCATTTCAAACTCTTTTTTCATTAACTCCTTGAACTCCTTAATTAGCTTTGTGTTGCTTCTAGTGAATATGAGATCGTCGACATAGAGAGCGACTACCATCATATCTTTTTCTGGTTTCTTTGTGTACAAAGCATGCTCATATTGACATTGTTCATACCCATTTCTCTTGAAATACCCATCAATTCTCTCATTCCAGGCACGAGGAGCCTGCTTCATCCCATAGAGAGTTTTTCTTAATCTTAGTACCTTTTTCTCATCCCCTCTCTTCATGTACCCGAGCGGTTGCTCAACATACACCTCTTCCTTCAGCACTCCATTTAGAAATGCCGACTTCACATCCATTTGTAGAATCGACCATTGATTCTGAGCAGCTAATGAGATCAGAAGTCGGATTGGCTCCATTCTTGTGACAGGAGCAAATACTTCATCATAGTCAATTCCCTCCTTTTTTCTATAGCCCTTCACCACAAGTCAAGCCTTGTAACGTTCAACCTCTCCCTCAACATTCATCTTCTTTTTGTACACCTATTTTACTCCAATGGGTTGAGCTCCTTTAGGAAGGTCAGTTAGTTCCCAAGTTTTGTTACGTTCAATCGCTCTAATCTCCTCATCCATGGTTGTTCTCCACTTCTCATCTTGGACAGCTTTCTCAAAACTCAAGTCTTTAGAGTCAGCCAAAAGACATACAACATGAACTTTATTTGTAGTGTCGTATATTTCTTGCAGACTTCTCATCTTGGGTTGTTGTAGCTCTATTTCTTTATCTAAGGACTCAATGGTAGTTATTGTTGAAGGCACAATAATTTCTGAACTAGTTTCTTCTTCTGCCGGGTTACTCCAGCACCAATGTTTTGTTTCTTCCACATGAACATTTTGGCTTACCACCACTTTATTATTAACAGGATCAAACAATTTATACGCTTTAGATTTTCCATCATACCCGATAAATATGTACTTCTTACTCCAATCTTCTAATTTAGTCTTGTGCTGAATTAGCATAGGCCACACTACCAAACACCTTCAGATGAGAGACACTCGACTTCATACCACTCCATATCTCCTGAGGCATCTTCTCACCTAGCTTTACATGTGGACATCTATTTTGCAAAAAGACTGCGCACTGCACCGCCTCTGCCCAAAACTTCTTTGGCATATTCTTCCCTTTAAACATAGATCAAACCATATCAAGAATGGTTCGGTTCTTTCGTTCTGCTACACCGTTTTGTTGCGGAGAATATGGGGCAGTCAGGAAATGTTTGATCACATGTTCCTCACAGTATTTGTTGAACTCAGTAGAAGTGAATTCGCCTCCTCTGTCAGATCGGATTACTTTGATTACTTTGCTTGTTTCTTTCTCCACCATAACTTTGAATTTCTTGAAAGTTTCAAACACTTTTGATTTCTCCTTCAGAAAATAAACTCATGTTTTCCTTGAAAAATCATCAATGAAAGAGACGAAGTATCTCTTACCACTGAAAGATTTTGGAGTTATTGGCCCACACAAATCAGTACGGATCACTCCGAGTTGCTGCTTTGCTCGACACTCAGAACTTCTTGGGAAAGAATTCCTCGCTTGCTTCCCAATCACACATTCTTCACAGAACCTTTTTTCGAATTCCATTTTAGACAATTCGAGCACCATCTCCTTTTTCACCAGCGCAGTCAACCCACCAAAGTTAAGATGACCAAACCGCAAATGTCACTTCATGGTCTCATCCTCCATATCAAATTGCACACATTTATCTTTAACTATTTTCAGCTCAAGTTTGTACATGCGATTTTTCTTCATTCCCACCAAATCAACAAGTCTCCCTAATTTATCCTTCAGTTGTAGTTCTCGGTCCTTCATCAGAATCAAGTACCCCTTCTTCATTAACTGTCTCATGCTTAATATGTTGCTTTTGAGATCAGGTACGTAGTATACATCTCTGATCTCTCTGATTTGCCCATTTCTCTGTTGATACCATAATGTTCTTTGACCTTTGACAACTACTTTCGAAGCATCACCGAAAGAAACAGATCCGGACTCCACCTTTGAAAGTATTTTGAATAAGCGCTCATCACCACACATGTGGTTACTAGCGTCAGTGTCTAAGTACCAAACCGAGTTATTAAAACAGTTCGGTTTGATCTTAGTTTCTGAAGTGTTTGCCACCATCAACAATCCTTCATCTTCTTCCTCAGTAAGAAAGTTTGTTGGTTCCTCCTTTTTCTTCTCAGACCTACGATCTTTGGAAATATGACCCAGTTTTCCACAATTATAGCATTTTACGGAGTAACAGCCTTGACAACATGTACATTCTTTCCACAATTATAGCATTTTACCGAGTAACAATCCTTAGCAATATGCTCATTCTTCCCACAATTATAGCATTCAATATTGTTTGTGTTTGTTCGGCCACCCCGAGCTTGTCCTTGGCCACGCCAGTTCTGTTGACCGTCTTGCTTATTTCCTCGTCCTCCTTTTCCTTTACCACCACGACCTCTACCTTTTCCTCGGCCTATGGTACTCTGAGCATAGAACACCTTCTCCTCTTTTATTGTCGCCTTTGCCTGGAGAGCCTGTTCAAGGGACTCCCCCTTCTTGTTTTTCCTTCTCTGCTCATGCGCTTCTAGGGACCCAGCAAGCTCTTCAAGGGTGAGCGTTGACAGATCCCTGGACTCCTCTATTGCGCACACAATGTTCTCGAAATTATCTGTCAATGATCTCAAAAATTTTTCAACAACTCGATTTGATGAAAGACTCTCACCATTCTGATTCAGCTTGTTCACCACAGTCTCCACTTGAGTAATGAACTCGAATATGCTTTCAGGCTCTTTCATCCTCATGTTTTCAAGCTCGCCCCTAAGGGTTTGAAGTCGAACTTGTTTCACCCTTTCATCTCCTTTGTTTGCTTTTTCAAGTGTATCCCATGCTACTTTGGAAGATTTTGCGTTAGTTATCTTCTCAAAGCCAGATTCGTCGACGACTCGGTATAGTAGATACAAAGTCGCCTTGTCTTTAGCTCGAACGGCCTTCAATGCGTTCAACTGGGCATTTGAATACCCATTTGTGTTTACCGGTTCCTCATACCCATTCTCGACCACATCCCAGTTATCTTGGGAGCCGAGAAGAGCCTTCTTTTGTACCTTCCAGTTGTCATAGTTGGTGCCTTTCGTCAACTTGGGTAGCGGGATGTCATTGGTTAGACCTGTCATTTCCTCTCAAGTGTTTGTACTCAACTCACACACCTCACAAAGTTCTGAGTCACTCCTCTCTCTTTCTCAGCCAGCACACACTGTGGCGTTATCTCTTGAGGCTTGGTGGGCTCTCTCACACTCACCTCACACACAAGCTCTGATGTCAATTTGTTAGTAATAGGAAAACAAAAAAACACTCTCAATTTTTCTCCTGATGCAATTTCAAATGAGTTGTTACAATTATTTATGGTCAAAATATTTGTCTCTTCAAATGCCAAACGTAAATCATAATACCTATTAAATAGGTTTACAACCCATTAGTTATATCACTCGTAATTAAAACCATTAATATTATTTTAGGAATACTAAACGTCTAATTAAGTTTTATAATAGTAACTAGCGGAGGATCAAACTGAACTAGAATATGCTAAGCAGAATAAACCTGCTTTATACAAACTTGAGAGGAAAAAAAGAAAAATATTATAATATTTTTGTGTCTCTACAACCCAAATCACCTCAGTTATAATGTAAAGGTTATAGAGATAAATTTGATTATAAGAGAGATGAAAAGATTAACATATAAAAGATATAACTCATAGATAGATACAACTAATTAATACCAATCTAGTAAATATAAATCGTGTGAATCTATCAATATGTATATGTCAGTTGTTTATGCCTCATCCAGCTAGAAGAGATCTTCGGCAAGAGCTCAACAATCTGTCTTCTCAAACCTTGGCTCTTTGATCTTTTATGGGTGATAATGCAAGTCATATGTATAAAGGTAATAAATACCCATATCTCTTGGCTTGCAGATAATTCCATGATTGGTTTGATCATAATTTTTTTATTCACCTGCATTTTGTTGGCAGCCAATTTACTTGGAGAAATGGTTGCATTAATGATGCTAGAACCGATAAGCATCTGGATCGGGTTATAGGTAATGCTGAATGGTTAAATTTCTAGTCTTCTGTATCATGTATTATTTTTTCACAGATTAAATTTGGTCATCACCCTCTCCTCTTCAATATTGCTTAATCAGGCATGTTAAAACCCCTTTTAGATTTTTCTGAATGTGGTCTAAACATCAAGATTTCCACAATCACAAAGTAATTCATGAGTCTTGGTAGATAAAGAGGTATGGTTGTCCTATGTTTGCTCCATCTGAAAAGCTCAAAGAAGCTAAGACTAAACTTATCCAATGGACTAGAGACAGTGTTGCTAGTGGTCAATCTAAGGTTACTGGTTTGATCAGATTCAACAAGGCATTGACAGTAATGGTCCCTAGCCAAATCTTTTGGATGCTGAAAGATCCTCTCTTCTGGAATTTGATAAATCCCTCCTCTTTGAAGAAGAGTTCTAGAGGGAGAAATCCAAAATGAATTAGTGTTTACAAGGTGACAGAAATACTAACACTATTTTCATCAGGTTGCCAAAGTTAGGAATGCCTCTAAAAAAAATTATAATTAAGAAATAGGAATGACATTTTTTCAATATGGTATGGAATGAAAATTTTCTCCTAAATCATGGAAAAGTTGCATCATAAATTTGACAAGGAGCAGCAACTTAGGGCCAAGGAAAGGGGCGATAGGAGACCTAATAGAAAGAGGCGACTACCAGAGAAGAAGAAGAAACAGAAAAGTATTTTTCACTCTTTGAACCAGAGGGTGAACCCATCTTAAATAGGTTTTAACAAACCTGTAACTGAATAATAAAAACCCTAATAATAAACATGTATAATAGCCTCCCCTCAAGTTGGATGATGAATATCCATCAACCCTAGCTTGGAAACAATAGATCTAAAATGATTTTTGGGAAGAAGTTTGGTGAAGACATAGGCAAGTTGATCGCTGGTGTGAATAGGTAGAAGATGTATTAGGTTAGACTGAACCTTGTTGTAGAACGCCTAGTATTTGGACATGTAGCCTAATTAGAATCATTGAAACCTTTTAGTTGTAATTTAGAATCTGAAGCAAAGAAAAGGCCTTGGACTGGATTAGATTTGATATATCTAAGAACATGTTGAACTGTTTGATGATGATGTATAATAGGTTCCTGTATAAAACTTAAATAAGGTCTAGTATTGGTAAGTATAAGGGTTTCCCTGTGAGTCTATGGTAAGCATCACCGTTGTGTATAGGATTTTTGGAATCAAAGAAAGGTTTAGTGTTACTCATAAAAGGAGTTAGGTAAGGTTTGCTGGCAAGCATTCCAGTTTCTTCAAGAATGTACAAACATATTTACTTTGACATGATGTATTCCTTTCTTGGACCGAGCTACTTCAAAAGTAAGGAAATACTTGAGCTCTCCTAAATCCTTTATCTGAAAGTATTATGAAGAAGATTTTTTATCTTCTTAGTTTTTGTTAAAGAATTTATTGTCAAGATGATATCATCTACATAAACTATTAAGGCTATAAAGAAAGTAGAATATTTTTTTATAAAGAGAGAATAGTTAGATTTAGATTGAGTAAAATTAATAGAAATAAGGAAAGGAGATAGTTTGGCGAACCTTGTTTGCTGGCTTGTTTTAACTCATATAGGGATTTTGTAAGTCTGCAAACTTGATTTTGTTTATTGATATTCAGTCCTAGTGGTGGCACCATGTAAACTTCTTCATTAAGATCCCCATGAAGAAATGCATTGTCCACATCAAGTTGGTGTAAATGTCATTCTTTCATAGTTGCCAAAGCTAAAAGAAGTTTAACAGTAGTAAGTTTAGCCACAGGGAAAAAAGTTTCTAAAAAATGTATTCCTTCTAATTGAGCATATCGGTTAGCAACCAACCAGGTTTTGTACTTTTCAATGGTACCATCAGCATCAACCCAATATTGTTTTTTACTAGCGTCAACATAATTTTGAGGTTCTTCGTTACTAGTTATAACATGAATATATTTTAAGTATTTCTTAGATAAAGAATCATAGGAAAGAACAAAAGAGATATGATAAGTAGTTCAGTAAGTATTCTTTTTGTTTTGAATAAAATCATTTTCAATAATAAAGGAATGATTAACTTTTAACCCGATGATGGTAATCTTTCAAATATATTGGATGCCTTCATTTTCAATTTGCTCTGGGTCAATGTTTTCTTCATGATGTTTTGCCGAAAAATCTGGATCATCTCTTATAGAATAATCATTAAGAATATCACTACAACTACTAATCATACCATTGTTTTCTTGATAAATAGATCAAAAAGAATTTTGAAATTTTCTTGATTTTCCTTATTAGGTTCAAACTGGTTTTAGATATTTCATAAGGAAAAATATTTTCATAAAAAACAATGTTTCTGCTAATAAATATTTCTTTGGTTTTAACATCAAGAAGAATGTACCCTTTAGTCTCAACTTTATATCCCATAAGAGCGCATTTTCTACATCTTGAGTCAAACTTTGTTTTACTATTTTCAAGGGTAGAAGCAAAACAAAGTCATCCAAAGACTTTTAAATCTAGATAAGTATGAGGTATTTTATGAAGCATTTCACAAGGATTTTTTTCAAGAAGAACAATAGTAGGTAATCTATTAATAAGATGAACAACATGATTTACAACATATGACAAATAAACTTTAGGAAAATTAGATTGAACAATCAAACTGTGTGCTATGTTTAAAATATGTTGGTGTTTCCTCTCCACACTAAAATTTTGTTGTGGGGTTTCTTCACAACTTTTTTGATGTAAAATGTCATATTTATTGTAAAAACCAGTACAATCAAACTCCTGACCATTGTCAATCTTAATAATCTTGATGCTTGGTTCAAAATGGTTTTCAACATATATAACAAAGTTATTTAACAAAGTTCTTGTTTCTCCTTTAGTATGCATAAGAAAAACTCGCGTGTCTGCTAAAGTCATCAACAACAATTAAGAAATACTTTTGACCATGAACAGAAGGTATAACTATGAGACTCCATATGTCAATATGGATTAAATGAAAAATTTCTATAGCACGAGTACTACTTTGTTGAAAAGGTAATTTGTGTTGTTTAGCATAGTGACAAATATCACACACAGTTTTAGTATTTGAACATAAGTAAGGAAAGGTTTTACAAATTTGTTCTACAATTTTTATTTGCAAGATGTCCTAGTCTATAGTGTCATAAATTAATGTCAATTTCTTTGCAAGTTAAAACATAAATGACAGGTAGGAAATTTTTGTCAAGAATAAGAAAAAATCCATGTAGGTAGTACAATCCTTTGCATAGGCTAACATGCTCAATCATCTTCAATGAAGTATTATCCTAGATCTAACATTACTCATAAGAGAAAATTAGTTTACAGTTTAAGTCTTTAATCAAATTTTGAACATATATTAAATTGAATGTAAAATCAGGAATGTATAATACATTGAAAATGATAAAATTTTCGAAAAATGTATGATTCCAACATAGTGTGCAGTGGACATAGGGATTATTGGGAAGTTTAACATGCACAGGTTTAATCTTGAAAAAGGTGACAAAAAAACTCTAACATGAGTTACATGATCAGTGGCACCGATATCAAGGATCCAATAATCATTACATTGCTTATTTCAAAATTAGATGATCCAGTAGTACATTTTTTTTGAACATGATTAATTGTGGCTGGTGTTGTCAACATTATCCAAGAGTTTCAAAAGTTTTTGTATTTGATCAGGAGTGAGAGAATTGGCTTCTTGCTTAGAAGTTTGAGTGTTAGGTTGTAAAGAATCTTCCTTTGTGTTGAGATTACACAACTGGTTTCGGTCATGATTGTTCACCTTGATTGCTTCTCTCTTGATCACCTATTTGTTTATATCAAGGTGGATACCCGTATTTAAAGTAACACTCATCCACCGTGTGATTCATCTTGTTACAAAAGAAACATAGTTTTCCATAATTGGGGTTCCTTCCTCTTCCTCTCTCTTGTCCTCGTCAATTAGTATTGCCTACTTCCTTGTGACTTCTAAGACCCTTGTTCATTCTATTTCCAGCTGTTTGGTTTTTCAACAGTATTGATCAACAACTTACTTTCTGTAATTATACTTCCAATTTCTGTGAGTTGCCTTTCTTGTTGCATGATCAAGGAAAACACCTTGTTGATGTTAGGTAGGGATTCCATGAGTAGAATTTGAGTACTAATTGTGTTGTAAACATCATTTAATCCTTTCAAGAAACATATAACATACTTTGTTTCCCTATATTTGATGTAAGTTTTTGACATATCACAAGTACAAGAACAACTAGGTATATGTCTTAAAAAATCAAGTTCCTCCCAAAGAATCTTTACATCAATAAAAATTTAGGCAATATTTCTCTCAACTTGTTTGGCAGAATGTATTTCTTGTAGCAAATCAAATATCTTAAAGTAGTTATCTTTAGAAAAAATTTCTTTCAATTCAATCCATAAATCTTGAACATTATCAATGTATATAACACTGTCAGCAATATGCAGTGACAACATTCTAATGATTCAAGATAATATCACATTGGATCTTTCCCACACATCATACAAAGAGTTATTAGGAGAGGTAATCTTTATGCTTCCATCAAGAGATTTGAATTTATTCTTGGAAAGGAGAGTTCGTTTCATACTCCTACTCCAAGAAAAATAGTTAGTCTCATTTAAAGGGGGAGAAACAAGAATAAGACTTGGATTTTCTCCGAAATATAGGTAATAAGGGTTTGATGGATTGAGAGATTGATCCATAATAATGTTTGTAGAACTTGATTGTGTATTTGTTGTCTTCATGATCAAGAAAGACAATAAACCACCGATAATAGACAATAGGCGGAAGTATAGTAGGCTTTCATCTTGTTCTTATACCATATTTAGGATGATATGGAATGAAAATTTTCTCTTAACTCTTGGAAAAGATATATCATAGATCTGACAAAGAACATCAACTTAAGGACAAGAAAAGGAACGATTTGGAAACTTAACAAAAAGAGTCAACTACCAAAAAAAGCAGAAAAGCAAAACATCTTTGAATTGAAAGTATTTGTCACTCTTTAAAGAAGAGGATGAATCCATCTTAAATAGATTTTAATAAATATGTAACAAAATCATAAAAACACTAACAATAAACTCTTTTTTTTTTTTAATAACATTCTCGGAGTGGATACAGAAAATCATATTTTTCAACATTACTAGAATCTGTTTTATCGTGTTGTGTCTAGTCACAAATTTTGATCTCATTAGTATAAACATTCCTTATCTGGTTAATGATGTTGATAATACTATTTAACTCAACCTACTTTCAAAGGTTGAGCAAACTGTATTTAACTTGTTTGTTGCTATTGCTCTTGGACCTCATGATTTACAATAATAATTAAAATAAAATAAAATCAAACATTCTCACGTTAATAAAAATGTAATAGATTAATTCTTTAAATTAGAAAGACCCTCTGCAACTAAATTACTCCGACACAAAATTAATAGAGTTTTTAAATATCATAAAAACTAATAATTTTCAATTATACGAATACAATGGAAAGAACTAATTACTTTATTAGTATATTTTTAGTTAAATTCTTAATTTCATCAAAGATAATTTTTCATTGATTATTTATTGACACTATAATTAAATAAGCTATTAAAATAAGAATAAATTAAAGTGAGAAATATTAGCATGTAAGATAGTCAGTTTGTCACATAAGGATATGGTTTACATTTACAAATCCTTTTTTTTTCATTCAAGTTTTATTTCTAATCTATCTTTCTAAAAGAAAGATTAGACCAATAAGTAACAAAAACAATTTTTTATATATAACTTTAAAGTGTTTAAATATGGTAAGATTATTATAGAACTCAAATAATTAGTTATGTTAAAAGAAAAAAATCTTAAATTAGAATGAGTCTGTAAATAATTAATGCGAATTTTTTAGTTTAAGTCTTAACATGTAATTACATTAAATATTTGGATAAAAAGCTTTATCGTCCATATTTATTTATTTATACTTGATTAAGATTATTAATATTATTAAAGAAAATAAATGTATGTTATGTGAATAGAAAATATCTAGTGCTAATTTATAAATATATAGTGTAATATTCAACATTTCATGATGTATCATCCTTACATGATAAAATTAGCTGTGTCTCTAATTATAAATATTCCTTTTTAATTAATCCATATTAACGTCGCATGTCCTAACAACGTATATTTAGTTAAAATTATTTAAAACAAAAATTATTTGTTACGTAACCTTTTGTTAAAGAAAAATAAAAAATAAAAAGCACTTGAAAACTAGATTGCTATACAACGACACCGTTTTACACAAGCCTCTAGTTCTGTTCTGCGAACCAAACCGAATCAAACATTGTTCATCTTTCTTCCTTCACTTGTCTCCCTCACTGAATCGAAGAAGAAGAAGAAGAAGAAGAAGCGAGAGACACTGCGAACCAAAGCCCTAACAATGGCGTTCGAGATGCCATTGGATCAGATAAAGCAGCTTCGGATTCTGCTCCGCAAAGAGGCGAACCTCTCATGGTACGAACCCGAGAAGGAGGAAAATCTTGCGCTCCCGAAGCTTCCTTCCGTCTCCGAAACCATAGCAAAGTTGGATCCCTCGCCGTCTTATCTTCGCTGTAAGAATTGCGACGGGAGACTCATACGCGACGTGCAATCTTTCGTCTGCGTCTTTTGCGGCACGAATTCCCGCAAGGACCTCCCTCCTGAACCCATCAAATTCAAGAGCACCATTGGCTATCGGTGGCTACTCGAGTCCCTTCAACTCGATGGATCGGTAATATCAATCTCATTGTTTTCTCTACTATTAGGAGTGTTTCTTAGTGCTGAAAATTGTATATTATATATATTATTTGGATGTAATGTTATTCATATTTCTTTTGTTTATAATGCAAATAGGAAAGAGAAGTAGATAAATGATAGTTTGTTTTGTTAGGCTATGCTTTTTTTAAGATATATCTTAGATCAAGTTCTTTAGGCGCTTTTAGTGTGGTTTTTCTATTAGAATTAACTTTTGCCATGACAATATATGTCATAGATGCTTACATTAAATGTCAGTATGGGTTTTCAAGGTGAAACTCCAATTTTAATTGGAGAATAATACCAAAAACACCTAAAGAACTGCATCTAAGTTTGTTCTTATTTTCTTAGAAAAATCTTCGTTACAGTTCTTAGGTGCTTTGGTCGTTGTTTTCCCATCTAAATTGGTGTTTGACCTCAGTACACGATATAATAAAGGTTTCTATTAAAGGTGATCTATAGGTTATTGAGACAGAACTCCAGTTCTGATTTCAGAACAACACCTAAAGGACTAAAGAAATTATGTCCAAGTTTTGTCTTTATTTTTTAATAAAAAATTGAGGTGTTATGTATTGTTGAGATAACTCTGTGCACATTGCTTTGCAGGAGATGGTGACACCAGTGATAGATGAAAATGAATGGAACAGAGGGAGGAATGAATCAAAAGATGAAATTCCCCTATCTGAACTGCTGGATTTGGAAATTAGATGGCCTTCCGAAGCTGAGATAGCTCAGTCGAGTTCTTCAGCTTCTGCAGCTTTTCAGGGGAAAAGCTCATTAAGTTTGGCTGGAGTTGATCTTGACAGTTATTTCAACAGGAAGGAATCTAATTCCGATGTGTTTCAACCAAACATGGCTTCTGGAAGACAGGTGGGTACTGCTTCAGATAATACATTCCAAGCGAATGAAAATCTTAGCTTGTTTCAAAATGTACAAGCTTCAGAAGTGGCTGCAGGATCTGCAGAAAATCTGAGTGGTGATTCGTTTTCCGGTTGGGAGGCCAGGTTTACATCTGCTAGTTCTGATCCTGTTCATGAAATGTCCAAATCTGTTGATCATTCTGAAGTTGATTTGGATACAGCATCTGGATTCTGGAAAGATCCTGTTGGTGTAAAGAAGAATGACGATTTCAATCCCTCAGCATCCACAGAACATGATTATTTTCAGGGTGATGGATGGAGAACTTCAAACTCGATGTTACAGACCCAGACTGGGAAATCAGAATCGACCATGGATCTTAGTGGTACTAAAACAGTAGAAAGTGCTAATGGTTCTAGTAGAGATGTTGATTGGATGCAAAGTGACCAATGGCAAGGGAGTGGTAACAAGACAACTGACAATGTGGGTATTACTGAAGATAATTCACTTGATGAATGGAATGATTTTACTGGCTCAGCTAGCACAGAAGACCCTTCTAGTACTATTTCCAGCTTAAAGACAACTGACCAGACTGGAAGTATTGGATTTTCTGTTGATTTTACTGATACAAAAATAGCGGAGGATGCTAATAGCTCTTCTAACAAAGATTTTGATTGGATGCAATATCAGTGGCAAGATAGCAATAATGAGTCAACAGATACCATCAGTGCTAATGAAGCTGTTGACTCATTTGATTCATGGAACGACTTCACTGGCTCAGCCAATACACAACACTCGTCCTTTGGTGTATCCCACTCAGAGATAACAAGCCAGACTGGTAAATTTGAATCAACCCAGGATCATAATGATACGAAAACAGCTGAAAGTGCTGCTGGCTCTAGTAATTTTGATTGGATGCAAGATGACGGATGGCAGGGGATTGAAAACAAGGTAACTGGTATTGTGACTACAAATGAAGTGGCTGATACATTCGATGCATGGAATGATTTTACTGGCTCAGCTATTTTGCATAATCCTGCCAGTGTTGTTTCCGACTCTCTGATCACTGCCCAGATGGGGAACTCTGAAATTACTGCTGATCTTAATGACTTGAAAACAGAAAGGGATACAAATGCTTTTTCTCACACAAGTTTTGACTGGAATCAAAATAACCAATGGCAAGATAGCAACAACAAAACAACTGATTCCAGGACTACTAATGATATTGATTCATTTGATGATTGGAATGACTTTACTAGCTTGGCTACTACACAAGATCATTCCAGCAGTGTTTGGAAACAAACAGTAAATCAGACTTCTGCTGAAAAGACCTCCGAAATGAATTTACCCAGTACGTCAATCAGACCGCATGATATAGAATTTAGTGGGCTTCCACAACATGATTTATTTCCAGGACAGTTTGGTAGTTTTTCAGCTTCTCTTCCAGCTACAGCTTCAAACAGGTGAGACTTGATATTTTGCTGGTTGCAATTTTTTAACGTAATTACGCATGGTTCAGTTCAATCAGTTTTGGAGTACCGGGTGGACTTGAGTGTTTTTCCAACACTTTCGGAGTTTGAGTTCAATCACTCAGTTTATATTTAGTGCTGATTGTATAATTCAACTAAAAGGATGCCTACACAGTTGAAATCCTCTTAGGAAACTGAGGTATCCTGTATTACAGACGTTTCTGTTAGATGAATTAGTTAAATGGGAAATGATTGATGTCATGATTCTTTGCTTTGCATGTTATGGGATAAAGAATGTGGGAAGGAGCAAACTAGTGGGTTGTTCTCCTTTTATTAATCTTTTATTAGAAATGCGTTGTTCAAACATATTTCTCCACCACCCTAGATAACTAGTATTTATACTTTCTACCTTGAAGGAACCGAAGACTAGCAAGTTCATAAATTTTAAACCACTGTATAGGCATTGCATGTTACAATTCTGATGCCTTGGTTAATTGATATGGGTTTTGGACACTCTTTTCACTAACATTAATTCTTAATTGACATTTTCTATTATCAAAATAGAAATTTAAGCCATATGTTGCATGTTCAGGGTGGCTGAAGTGGATACCACGAGAGGAAACTCTGGAGATGTTCCCACTGCAGTAGGGTCAAAAGATGATGTAGAGATGCTGATGTCACAGATGCATGATCTCTCCTTTATGCTTGAGAACAATCTTTCAATTCCCCCAAAGTAAGGTGTAACTACACTAATTTCTTGTAACCCATATCCATTTATTCTTCGCTTATATTATGATTACTTTGTAATCTGTACCATAGCCCGTTCTTTCTGTGTATTTGTTGTTTGATGAACGGGTAGGGAATAATAGTATGGCCTCATCTCCAGTTGTAATTTCCACTCTTCCCTCGATCATTTTTTTTTTTTGGGTGTAATTCCCTAAGTTTAGATTTTGATATTAGATCAACCTTGCCGGTATGTCTTGTTTTGTAGAATGCTGCTACTACTGTATATTAGCTGGCAGTTTATGTTTGGGAGTCATTGTGATTTTCTGTAAGGTGTGATTGGAGGGCTTCCTTTAATTTTTGGTTTGTTAAGACTTTTCAGACATTATTAGCTCCACTTTCAACTAATCTGCAGTAAATGCTTCATATCATGGTCTTTTCTGGGTACTTTGCCCTTGTGAGCTTCGTGAACAAATGGTGCAGAAACTGTTCATTGGTATTTTTTTTTTTTTCATTTAATAACATAAAACTAATTCTAAACAATTGCATATTTACCTACTTTATTATCATTACTTTTAGCAATATTTTGTGTAAAGAAAAAGGAATTGAAGTTGAAGATAAATGAAGGAATTCAATCGTGGTTGCTGCATTTTAGGAGGTTTATATACCAAAGGAGGCACCGAACCAAAAAGACGGTTTGGGCATTTTTCTTGAATATGACAAATATGTGAAAAGGGGGAAGGTCTTAGGCTTATGGCCTTATGGGGTGTAGATTTGGTAAGGCAATTGCTTCCAGCTCCGGATATTTTTTAGAAAGAGAACATCATTCCTGTGAGATTTATTTGCTTGAGGTAAAATAGATTTTGAAATAACATTTTTGGAAATCTACAGATACATATGTAGGTATTACCTATGAATAATGGCGTATGAAATTTGTATTACCTACAAAGGTGTTATCTATACATTTTCTTTTCAATAGGAATTTGTAGATGACTAAATTTGAGTTAGAATTTTATGTATTATCTACTAATTATTTGGTAAGTAATATTAGTTTTTCTTCTATTGTCACTCCAATAGATATCCATGTTAGTGGTTGAATTGAGAATTGGAACAAGGAAGAGATGGGGATGTGAGGAAAGGGTTTCTAATTATAAAAAATACGCGTGACTTCTATGGAGACAAGGAGTAAGTTTTTTTATCTAAATGTTTTATCATGTCTTCACTTAATAAATTAATTAAGCCTTTTGAGAATTATAATATAAATTTAAGTACATTATTTAACATTTTTTTTTATCATGTGTAAGCCAGTTGGTTTGATTTGTAAAATTGAATTGATGATCCAAAGATACAGGAATTGGTTTTACTGATGATTTTCTTTTTGTATATTGACTATAAATAATGGTAAAAAATCATTTTGTTGATATTTGAAATAAAGATTTGAGTTGTTTTGAAAAGAGATGTATTTTAAAGAACTAAAGTATATATTTAAATAAACATTGATGAGAAAAATTAAAGATATATCTCCGGTACTGTTTAAATTGTTGTTTTTAGATTAATACACCCTTAGTAAGTTATCAAATATTGATACCCAACATTTATAATAATAATAAAAAAAAGTCTAATTTCTTACATAATTTGACATTAATCGTAGTTTAGAAATCATGTTATATGTTTTAACATTTAATACAAGTTATACATTTTCTTTTTAAATTTACTAGTAGAAACATAATCAATAAAGTTTTTGCGTATCTATATTTTATATAAAAATTTTTTTCTTTAAATATATTTAGTTTTTCTTTATTATATCATTTTTTCTTCATATTTTTACTATTTTTTAATTTATATAAATTATAATATTTTTTTTAAAACTATAATATTTCTATTTTCTAATGAAGAAAACATTTTTTCGCATACGTTTTTTTTTCTCTTTTCAATAAAAAAATAATTTTAAAAAATCCATCTATATATTATTATTATTGATAATAAATTATTTCTCACATATTTTTATATCTGTATGTGAGAATGTGGTGACTTACAAATAACATTAACAATAAAGTTGAACCTAAACAGAAATGGTGAGGAACTAGTCACAAATGGTATAATCTTGGGACGAATTCGACGCGTTTCTTAGGTTATATTTTCCATCATATATCTCTTTTTCCATTTATTTTAATCATTTTCTGTTTCTGGAACATATTTACAAATGAAATGTTCCCTTTGACGATTACACGATCCACCTTCTGGAATTTATACAAAAACGTTGAAAAGAAAATGTCCTTTCGTATAGGAATCGCTAGCTTCAAATGTTTTCATTGCCCCTCCAATAAATTATCATTTTCCAGATGTTAAGTTCCAAGGAAACTTCACTATTGTCTGAGATTAAATCTATGTTTAGAGGCTATAGTTTTTGTTTTTTGTTTTTTTTTTCTTTAGAAAAATAATTGGTGAAGAACTAATATCTAAAAGCCATCTAGAAAAATATAATATAAAAATAATATGATGTAATAAAAGAGATAAAATATTATATTTATATAAAAATATTTATATATACTTGCTCTTTTCTTTTTAGCTACTATAATATCTCTAAGCCTTTCAGAAGTATACAAGTCAAATTTATCCATAAATTCATAAAATTTTATTTCTAAAATAAATAAATAAAACTTTTAATTAAGCAAGATTATGGCATCTTCAATTAGAATAAACTTATATAAACTGATTTTTATTTTAAAAAGTATTAAAATATAAATTTATTACTAATATAATTCTTAAGTAATTCATTATTAATTTTATTTCAATGATTTTTTTAATGAATTTTAAAGAAATTATTCTTTCCTATATTCTGTTTTCACGTTTATTTAATTTAATTTTATAAATTATTTAATAAATTAATTATAAAAAATATTTAGACAATTTAATAATCATATAATTTTTTCAATAAAAAATTATTTAAAGTTACTAATATTTTTCTTATACACAGTGTATTTTCCTACTATTATTAGCTTCATGTGTTAGAAGGAATGTTTTCCTTGACCCCGCACCAATTTGTTTGATTTCTACGAAAAAGACACGGAAGATAATATTTTATTAATGTCGCATAAAGTTAAGGGATATTATTCCAAAATTTAAATTTTTTTTATTTTTTATTGAATTTGATTTTCGGTTTCATCTTTCAATTGATAAATAGTTTTTGTATTTTTTTACAAATATATAAACTTAACCCTTAATCGTATTGAAATTAAAATCTAATACAAAATTTACCTCTACAAACGACTAAAGGTGCATAATTTTCTAGAATTTGAAGTTTATTTCGTTAATTTGAGAATATAGGAACAAAATTAAGCTTCAAGAATAAAAGAATAAAAAAAAATTCTTTTGTTTAATAATATTGTGATGGAAATGATGATAATTTATAATCAAGTAATTTTATAAAAAATTATAATAATAAATAAATTCATATAAATTACTCGATATTAAATATATGATAAAGATATTCGATACTTAATATAAGAAAAAAATCTTTAATATTTATATGTTTATTATCAAAATATTTTAAATAATAGATTATATTTATTTAATAATGTACCTAACAACAAGGTTAATTATATATTATTAGTATATGTATTGATATAAAAGAATTATTATATAATAAATATTATGAATTTGTAATACAACTTTTCTTAATTAATGAAAATTTATTTTTAAAAGTTTAATATAATCAGCATAAAGAATGTTTATATACTATCCATGTCAAATTAACTTAAAAACGATGGTGACAAAAATATTTAATAGTATGTTAGTAAAAAAGGCTAACTAATGATAAAAAAAAAATTGTTAAATATTGAAGAAAATTGGAGTGTTAATGGTCCAGCATCATGGTATGCAATTGGTGAGCTAGAGTGTGGAATCAGAATGATAAAATTAATCTGTTTTTAATTTTTAAAAACAGTTTTATTATTAATTTTGAAGAATTTTCTTTAAATAAGTTAGAAAAAAATATTTAAACAGAAGAAAATGAAAGTGACATAGACCTAAAAGTTAAAAGACAAAAAAAGCAACATAGAATAATGGTTAGAAAATATAAATATTATTAATAAAGAAATTAAAAAATATGAATTTTTTTATCAATTTTGTAGTCTTTAAAAATAAAAATAAAAATATATTACAAAACTAAATAGTTTACAAATTATAATAAAATTAAAGTAACATTAATTAATTATCAGATGAAGTAATACATATTTAGCACAAACCTTTTATAATATCAACATAATTAAATATTCTTTTTCATTTCTCTTTATTTTCAAACACTATTATTCCATTATGTTATATGCTCTTTTCTTGTAATTTATTATTATTATTATTATTATTATTATTATTATTTTCTCATTCAGACTCATCATAAGTAGGGGTATAGTTAACTGTTCATTCCCTTCAATTTCTTTCTTAGAACTTTATCAAACTTCCATTTAATTTCGTATTTCTTTTTCAAACTCCCAGTTTTCAATCCGTATTACAAGTCCAACTTCCTCCGTCAACCCTGAGTAAGAGTCTTTCTAGGTCGTGCCACTCCGCCATCTATAAAACTACGCGCATGCGCGCATCAACCATTTTTTATGGCTGATTGGGAGGTACAACACAATGGAGTATTTCAACAAAGCGAAGGCCGTGAAGCTACAAAGCCACCTCGGAAAGTACCTAGTGGCCGACGACGATAACCACAAACTCCGTCAAAGCAGAAACGGCTCAACCAGAAAAGCGATATGGTTTGTGGAGCAAGTAGAAGGGAAGAACCACCACCTGCGTCTGAGAACCTCCAACGGCCGTTACCTAACCGCGACGGACGCACCCTTTCTCTTAGGCGTAACCGGGAACAAGGTGGTGCAGGGGATTTTCGAAAAAGGTTCAGATTGGGAATTCGAGTGGGAACCTATAACGGAAGGGTTCCAGGTGAAACTGAGAAGCTGGTGCGGGAAGTACCTTAGAGGTAACGGTGGAACGTTACCGTGGAGAAACTCGATCACGCACGATGACCCTCATAGTTCCGTCACTCGTGATTGGATCTTGTGGAGTGTGGAGGCGGTGGACTTTCCCGAGAAAGTGGTTTCTTTGGCGGAGAGTGAGTTTTCGTCGTTGGAGTCCGAGGACGAAGTTCCCGGTTCTGAAGAACCGGTTTCGTCGTTGCGGGGTCAGAATTCAATGTTGCAGGTGCGTCACGTGTGTACTTTGTTCCTTTTACTTGTCAACTTTTGTTCCACTGAATTTTTGTTTTTAATATGTTACGCCCCATTTTGAACAAATTGAGAAAAAAAGTTTATTTATAACTTAAAATTAATTTACGTCAAATCTAATTTATATATATAACAATAAAGAAAAGATTAACATGTTAAGAACTTGATGGAACAAAAGCTCCATTTTAATAATCTAATATGTACAACCATTTAATTTATTAAAATATTATATCGACATTTTTATATATTACACACAAAATTTTCATTAAATATTTTAAATAAATTAAACATAAAATGAAATCAAATTAATAAATCAAGGAAGATTGACTGATGAATTAATTTGTTTACTGAAGATACTTAATTACATGATTTATGTTTTAATTCACGAATTCTTTTTTTTTTTTAATTATAATAAAAATAGTAAATAATAGTTGAAGTAAATGTTTTGTCTTTTTTTTTATGAAAATATTTATCCTTTTTTTCACATAATTTTTACATAAAAATATGACCTTTTATTTTATTTTATACTTTTAAAATAATAAAATTCTCATATTAATTTATGGAATTTCACGTGAAACACGAGAATGAATAAAATAAATAAGTAAATAAAAATAAGTAGAAAAATGATTTTTTCTATTTCTGTCCATAAACTTTTTTATTATAAAATAAACTTTAAATAAAGAATAATATAATTTGATAAAAAAAAAATGTGAAACCTCCAACTGGCCTCTGCAAATCACCGCTCGCTTACGCGGAGCTTCAGCAGCGTCAATGCACCACCGTCTACTCTTCATTCGACTCACGTTTTTTTTTTTTTAATATAAACTGTAATAATTTTGTTTTTCAGTTTTTTATATTTTTGTTCTAAAATATTAAATCTTTTAATATTACAATTATTTTTCAACAATACTCGTAGAATTTTCATATTAGTTATGGCTAACTGATCTGCTGAATCTGGGATGTGAAAATGAATTGGTAGGGAAGTGTTTCGTTTTGACGAAGCGGGAACAAAAATCTCGGCTTGAGTAATGTAAATATTAATGAAAATCCAATATCTCGAAAATCTAAGGGTTTCTCCTAATGATTTTAGAGATAAAAATTCAGTAAAAAAATTGGATTTAAGACATTATTTTTAATAATCAAAGGATTTTTTTGTGTTAAAGATATAAAACGGTTACTTAAAAATTAAAAAAAATACATTCATTCTTTTTTTCTTTTCTTTTTTTTTGTTAGAAAATAAAAAATCATTATTTTTTTATTTTCTTTTGATAGTTTCAAATTAATGAAAAATTTTGGTATGTTTAAAAAAAAGAATTTAAAATTGTAGATTATATAGAAAAAAAAAAACAAAAACAACAAAAAAAGGAGAAAAAAAATGTATAGAAATAACAGAAGCCTGGATAGCATTATATTTACTCAATTAATAAGATTGTCATTAATTTCCGTATAGTTAACGAAAATAGTAATTAATAATTTATTGCATATAACTTTAACGGAATCACAGTTGTCGTTACGCTTTAATTAAATTTTAAAAAAATGTAACGAAGAAAAAAGTGGTAATTTTTTTAAAAATTAAATTTACATACGCGTATATATCCTAAACTAAACCAAACCCAAGTTGCTTCCATTTCATGTGTGTGATCCAAACGAACACACTCTGGACAACCAACCAAACACAATCAGTCAACGACCCCGTTCCTCCGATATATCGTACCAAATCGAAAATCGATTAACCCTTCGACCGTGGCGATGCAGAGCACAGGTTCCAACAACACGTTCCGCTCCGGCATGGAGCTCTTCCAACGCGCGAAGGTGGTGCGGCTGCGCAGCCACCACGACAAGTACCTTCTAGCGGACGAGGACGAGGAGTCCGTGACCCAGGACCGAAACGGATCCTCCAAGAACGCTAAGTGGACGGTGGAGCTCATTCCCGAGTTCGACAACCTCTTACGGCTCAAGAGCTGTTACGGCAAGTATTTAACGGCGTCGAACCAGCCGTTGCTGCTGGGCGTGACGGGGCGCAAGGTGGTGCAGAGCGTGCCGCGGCGGCTGGACTCCTCCGTGGAGTGGGAGCCCTTGCGGGACGGCGCGCAGGTGAAGCTGAAGACCCGTTACGGGAACTTTCTGAGGGCCAATGGGGGGCTCCCACCTTGGAGGAACTCTGTGACGCACGATATCCCCCATAGGAGCGCCACACAGGATTGGATCTTGTGGGATGTTGATGTGTTGGAGATCCACGTTCAGTCCCCTGCTCCTCCTCCTATTCCTCACTCCGATTCCCTCGATTTCGATTCCTCTACTCCCTCTGCTGTTTCCATCAAATCCACTACTTTCTCCAGACAAGAGGTATCTGTGCCTTTTCCTTTGACACTTTTATCATTTGATGCATCTAATTGAGTGTTCAATGTTAACTATTGCTTCAATTTAACTGTAATAAAAGAGTTTTTTTAGTGTAATAGGATCGTATTCTTGTATTATTGAAAATTGTTAATTGATACTGTAAATGGTTTTTATGCATGTACTCTATCATGTTGTAGACAGAGTTTAATCATTAATAAAATTGGTATCAATAATGTGATGGTAAAATATGAATTTTTGTATAATTGAAAATAGTTGGCTTTGCTCGTGAAAATATCTTGAAATTTGATTTTAGTGGTGACTGTAAAAGTTCTATACATTGTAGAAAGTGATGGGATTTTAGTTCTTGTGGATTGAAAATGTGTTTTTGTTGAAATGCAAGTTCTGAAGACCATAATCGAATTGTGAGGGACAAAGTTTGATTCCTAATTAGTAGTCTATAAAAACTAAACTGTTAATGTTTTGTTTGGATGGGTTTGCAGTCGACGGATTCGAATGTGGGTTCACCGCCGAAGTTGGAGGGGAGGACTATATACTACCATGTTGCAGAGGATAATGGGGACGTGGATGATGAGAATGTGCAAGGTTATTCTTTGATTTTCAAAGGGTATGGGGTTGAGCAGTTGACTCGGAAGTTTGAGGAAGAGACTGGGCTCGAGGGAGTTATTGTGTGTACTAGAAGTCCTTTGAATGGAAAACTCTACCCTCTTCGCTTGCAGCTTCCTCCAAACAATGTCACCATGCAGGTTGTCTTGGTTCTTCCCTCATCTAAAGGTGAGTCTCTCCCTTGTCAACTGTTTTTCTTTTCAAGTACTGTACTTGTTTTGTTACACAATTTGATGAACTTAAACCTTTATGGAAAATTCATTAAACCGTTTGTGCTAAAATTTAGGATATAAAAAATAGCAAATTGATTCCTAGATTATAGCATTGAAGTAAAATGCCACGGTTGTGGCTGTTTTATAGATTTGCTATTATTTTGAAAACTCTATATTGAATAGATTTTTGTCCAAAGTTTAGAAAGCATAATATGGAATTCAAATTTGATTAAACCAGAGTTTTATAAGCTATTGTTTCACTCTTTTTTTTCCTACCAAATTTGTGTACACTAAACTATAAGATATATTGATCCTATAAATTATAATGGATGTTGAGCAAAATGAAAGTATCAAGTTGAAGAATCGAGGATTATATTGTTGATGGCTTAAATCGTTATAATTCTCTCATGAACTGGAAAATTCTATATGTTTATTTATATCAAGTATTCAAGTTGTTGTTCTGCTTTACATATATTGCTCTACTTCGTAGAAAAATCAACTACTTCTTAAGGACTTGGTGATTGTTTCAGTTGAAGGAAAAATTAATATTGAGGTGGATAAATTTAGTTATAGTTCGTCAAATGTCATAAAAATTATAAAACTAATATATGCAATTCCATTGTATATTGTATGGCATGACTAAGAAGTAAGGAAGTTACATCTCTATCACTTATGTAGTATGTTCACGCAAATTCTGAGAAGAAATCATAAAATCCTGTGATGCTGTTTCGGTTGTATTAATTGAACATAATTACACTCTTTTCCTTTGGCTTCTTCTTCCTCAAGTTTTTAGGTTAGATTTGTCTTATGTGTTATCCTGCTGAACTTACTAATATTTGCTTCTTGTTCTTTTGTTTCAGTGGCAAAAGACTTTGAGGAGCAAGGTCTCCTATGATGACAAGCTAGAATATTGTTGGAGTCTTGAATCTACTGAAATGCAAGGCCTATTTACGTTGTGACTCAAACCGTGTTTCAAATTTAAGAATATGTCGCAAAACTCCACCTATTTCAAGTGGTTCCATTGCATTCATAAGAATTCATGAAGGTCCGATGGAGGTACTTAAAGTTGCCCTGGTAAGGGTCATATCAGCAATATCCTCTATTAAGTGGTGTCCAATGGTTTGTAGAATGTAGAATAGACGAAGATGGAAGTCATTGTTGGGCTTCATATTTATCAGTGCTAGCTTATTCACGTGGAGTCAGATATTTTGTTGTATCTCCTTTTTTATATATTTATGTTTTTCATGTCCATCTGTATAGGACAACTTATATAAAATATTTTTTTAGTCTTATATAAATTTCAAAATTAGTAACATTTTTTAATTAGATATAAATTGTCTCTGTTGTTTGTATATTTTACTGCATAAAATGAAATAAAGATTGGAATTCCTGTCATCTGGTATTGCATCTTAAAATGAATATCATATTGACGCAAAAAGTTGATTATTTGTCAAGATGATCTAGTGAGCATTATGCTCTGTCAGAAACTAAAGGACAAAAATAATTTTAAACTACTATAAATGTGTGCACATACAATATCTTGTTCTATTTTTGGGTACTAATCAAGTGATCACATTGACTGATAAATTAATTATTTTGTACATGTTACTTGATTGATTGGCTATTGAAGTAATTTCTTATTAGTTAAAACAACTACATTACATTGGAATTATGTATTTTGTTTTTGAAAGAAGTGAACCACTTCAAAATATAACTCACATAACTTGTTGATCCATGTACTCCAGTTACTGAGCTTTATGCTTTCAATCATTCTTGGAGATGTTAAAATTCTCAGCTGAAAGATAAAAAAAATATTGAAGACACAAGATGCATAATCAGAGATTTAATCATAATATTTAACCATATGAAAAGATATTTGTTGAGAAAATCAATCCTTTTATAGGCATCACTGTGTCAAGAAATTAATTTTATCCTTCTGTAAAAAGAAATATCCCTAGCTCATCCTAAAAGTAATAAACACTTGATATATAACAATTAAAGGTAGATTATCTATTATAGTTAATTGATACGTAATTTTCATGAATGGTTTCAGTTATTTATTGGTGTACAAATAACAAATCATAGGATATTAAAAAAACTCGATAGCAGAGAACAACAGAATTTTATAATCATGAAAGGTAGATCGGGGGGACCAATTATCTCCGTGAACATCGTTAGCTGAGTTGGAAAACTGATAAATGGAGAGAAAGGGAAAGGGTCAGGATAATTACAAACCACGATGATCTCTTGGGTTGACATTAGATCTAATTTAAAATTGCTGTATCCTGTGAAAATCAATATAAATTCTGTTCATCCATTGAATTGGTCTTTGGGTCCATGTGGTTGCCAGGCATTATGTTCTTCTAGTATCCGGTGGTAGGCTAAGTGATTAAAGTTTGAATTTCACTTATTATACAATTTTGAATATGTTAGAAGATACTTGTTTAAGTATGTTTGATTTATTCATTATCCCTTATAGAAATTCATTGAGATTTCTTTACTTCTCATGCAACTTTAGGACTCTGGAAAATGTGTTCTCTTGGACCGTATAAAGAATGAATTCAATCAATGTCATGTGGGATTTTCAACTATATATGCATTACCTAGAACACGAGCATCAATCACCAATAATCCATACAAGAACAAACTCCATCTTTAAAGTGATGGAATCGAGCTCGATCTCTTACAATTAACTCCACATTGTATATCCTGGAGATTAACTTAGAAACCCTGTGGCAATCATTGCACACCCTAATATTTTTAAACACTCTGATTGGCACGCCTGGCCTTGAGTTCAAGATCCCAAATGCTATGGCAAGTCTCTCACTATGCAATCTTAGAGTATTCTGTTTTCCATCATTAGCCTCATCAACCATAGTTGCCCCTGAGTAGTCGGGTAAATACCCTATGGATTGTAACTTCTCCTCAATTTCATTCACAAACTTGTATATATTTTCACTTTGTGGATGAGTGGTGTCCCCAGAGAAAAATTCATGAACCTCTCCATCTATCTCTATTAGACTGCAACCAGGCTCTTTAGTCACACCCTTATCACTCATTAGTTTTCTAAGCAACCCTACATCATTCCACCTACAAGCAGAAGCATATACTTTTGACAGAAGCACATAAACACCACTACACTCACTCCCCTCTGACTCAAAGACTTGCTTTACCATTTCTTCGCTTAGCTCAACACTTGCATGGTGCTTGCAACAAGCATCCAAAAGACTCCTCCAAATCACAGCATCTGGTTTGATTGGCATTTCTGAGACCATGTTTAGGGCCTCATCGATGCGCCCTGCTCGAGCAAAAAGGTCAACAAGACAACCATAATGCTCCAATCTTGGTTCCACATTGTACTCCTTAGTCATCAAGTCAAAATGCACAATACCCTCATCAACCATGCCTCTATGGTTACATGCACATAAAACACCAACAAAAGTGATTGAATTGGGAACAATTTTCTCTGCCTTCACCATTCTGACATAATAGTCCAGCGCAGCCTCAGCCTTACCATGCATTGCAAAACCCATGATAATTGAATTCCATGAATTTACATCTCTTGCAGGCATGCTTTCAAAAACTTGCTTTGCAATTTCCAACTCCCCACATTTGCAATACATATCCACCAAACAAGTGTTGACCAAAACATCATCCACAATATTCTTGTCACACTTTTTCAAAATATAAGCATGTGCCCACAAACCCAAAGACAAAGAACCCAAACCAGCACAAGCACTAAAAACACTCTGCATCGTATACCCATCAGGGTCATGCTCTTTCTGCATCTCTCCAAACGTTTTCAAAGCAGTGTCAAACTTTCCACCCTTTGCGTAAGAATCAATCATGATATTCCACGAAACCTCGTTTCTCTCATTCATCTTATAGAATATCTTCTCTGCCAAGTCTAAGCAGCCACATGTCGCATAAAAATGAATCAAACTGTTACAAACGTGTGTATCTAACTCAAACCCACGTTTCAAAGCGTGGGCATGCACCTGTTTCCCCTCCCAAAGAGAAAACGTGTAAGCGCAAGCCTTTAGAACAAAAGGGAACGTATGGTTATCGGGAACTGCGTTTTTCTCTTCCACCATGACCATTGCTTTGTAAAGCTCCATGGCCTTGTGTTTGTAGTTGGTGTTGGTGCTTCGCGCGTAGGCTCTAATGAGAGTGTTCCACATGAAGGAATTGGGGTGCGAAAAGTGGTGAAACACAAGAGTGGCGTAGTTGAGATCAGCCAGAGAGGAGTAAAGAAGAATTCTTGTATAGAGAAAAAGAGCTTGTGGGTGGTTGGTGTCAACTGTGCGTAGCGTTTGAGCGTGAATTTGCTTGAGTTGAGGCATAGTGGTGGGTTTGTTCAACAATGAGACAAGGTGTGTGTGGCTAAAGGGTTGGCTTTGGTTTTTGTTGGTGGTGGTTGTGGGGAAAGGCAGAGGAGGGGAGCTCGTGGCCATGGTGATGGGCTCAAACAAGGGTTACTATATATTATTACGAGGGATTTCTTTGGAAGAATTGGTGTAGAAAGACTCACAATCATTCCATATCAACCCTTATCTTGTTCACTAGATGAAGTGGATAAGGTGGTGGAAGGTAAGAAAAAAGATATTGTGCTCTCACTTCATTCACTCCTGACCTGTTTAAACATCTGTGATTCTGAATTTTAGGGGTAATGGATTGGAGAGTTTTTGGATCTACCTTATAATTCAAATGCATAATAATAGAAGGTTGTCTATTAAAAATGACAACGGATATTCTTTTATATATATATATATATATAAATTAAAATAATGATAGTCGTAATTTGCTATCCAAATTATATTAATGGTTTAATTTAGACAAATGGTTTAATTTACAACATTTAATGTTTGTGAATCTATTTATAAAAATAATAATTAATTTTTAAATATATATTAAAATATAATAATTTTTTGATATATTAGGTAATTATAAAACTACTCTCCTAATTTGTACCTAAATTTAATGATTTTTTTTCTTTTAATGAGACGTGTTCATTTTTTAATTATTTATTACCATCAGCTTGTTGTTTTAGATTTTAATGTGTACTAATTATTTATTTATTTAATTCAATATAAATTTAAAAAAATAATTTAATAGAAATTTGTTAATATGATTATACGACATGTTTTGATGAGATAAAATTATATACACAACATAATTAAGACTTTAAAATTATGTAATCTTTTATCTATAATATCAATTACTAACTGTTACTATCTGTTAAGTAATTGCTTTTAATGAAGAAATATTATTAATTAACCCACCAATAAACCACATACATGACATTTATGTGTATTAACATACTAAACAAATCAAATTACTTCAAACCAAGTCATTATCAACGTATTAATACAATGCAAGGTTGTATAATATGACCATACTTATAATTAATTAATCTATCATTTTCAAATCTATTTTTTTAAATTATATTCGAGTTACCTTGCATTATGCATTCACATTAAAATTTAAAAACATGAACTACGTTTATCAGAGCAAGTAATAAATAAATAATGTAAGAATAAATTCAATAACTTGATTTTTAAAATCGTTAAAGCCTTTATGGCTCAGTGGTAGAGCGTCAGTCTTGTAAACTGAAGGTCTGTAGTTCGATCCTGCATGGAGGCAAAATGTTATTTTTAATACCTATTACTACAATGTAATTTTGGGTAACTCGGTTTACTTGGGAAATATGTCAACCGTTGCGAAAACTTTGTATTTAATTTACCATGTATATATGTATCTTAAACTTAGCAAATAAATTTAGATTAAAATTCAGTTAATTTTAATTTGCTAATATTTTAAATAAATAATTATTTATTTATGATAATGATTTTTCAAAAAATAAAAAGCAACAGTTTCACGTATTATCAATTATCTTATAAAATAATAAATTATTTTGATCCGAAAACTTACCTAAGTTATCAATTATCTCATGAAATAATCCTAAAACTTACTCAAGTGATCTAATTAATAAAATAATGGAGTTGTCCTCCATAAAATTAAGTTACCTTTATTTTTTTTTATAAAAATTAAGTTTTGAAAATTAGAATTTTAAGTAAGATTCATGATTTAATATTTTAATGTTTAACGATAATACAAATAAAGTCAGCCTTACGTATTCACAGTTAATAAATGTTTCACTTGAGATAAAGGCGATCTAATGCTAAAGAAAATTATATTTGAGAAAGATATTATTATACAATTTTCCTTTTTTATCCACCAAAATATTCAATGTAAAAGACATTAACATTTATAAAGAAACATATACTAGTACACGTCCCTGACATAGTTCACATTCATACAAAGAAAACGTAATATAGAAAATGTAAATTATGAAAATAAAAAACGATTACACCATATATTATCGTTGTTTGCATTCTCATTCGGTTCCGGATACATGTTGGGATGTATGCGAAGTAAACGACGGCGTCTCTCCATTTGAAGATTTGTGACATGACTGAGAATTTCTTGATATTTTTGCCAACGACTTGTCTGAGGTTTGTTTACTTGGAAAATATTGCATTTGCACTACTACAAAATATGCTTTCAACGTCGCCATTTAACGTCGGTTAAAGCTGAGCCAACGTTAAATGCACTTTCAACGTCGGTTAATTAAAAAACGACGTAGAAAGTACATTCAACGTCGGTTCCAGATGAACCGACGTTGAATGTCAACTTTCAACGTCGGTTCATGACCGAGCGTTGAATGTGTTTTCACCAAAAATTCTTTTAAGTTAGAGAATTGTCACTTAGCAGGGTTCGAACCCGATCTTTAAAGTTAAAAATTGATACTCCAACCACTAAACTACTGTAATTTTCCGATAATGACTTACAAATAAATTATATTTATATACAAATAAATATATACCTGTGTAAATATATACCTGTGTAAATATATATTTATTTATATATATTTTCTGGAAAGTGTTTTTATTTTTTTCAAGTAAAAAATTCACTTAAGTTAGAGAATTGTTACTTGATAGGATTCGAATATAGTATTTTAGAGTTGAAAATTAATACTCCAACCACTAAACTACTATAATATTTTGATAATAATTTACAAATAAATTATATTTATATACAAATAAATATATATCCGTGTAAATATATAAATACAAATATATTTATATATTTTTATGTTGGATGTGAGGGCGCGATCGAGGGTGAAAGTGAGATTGACTCTCGTTTGAGTGAAAATACGTTAAAGCTCACGGAAATTCACTCGTTCAAGCCTAGCTTGAGCGAAAATTGGTATTTTTCGCTTGAGCGAATGTGTCACTTGAGCGAATGATGCGTTTTTCAAATTTATTTTATATCATTATATAAATAAATTATAAATATTATATTTTGTCATTAAATTACAAACCCATATATAGAGACTCGCTCACAAATTTGGCATTAAATTTTGAAAACCCACTCGACACACACTTTCACCTTCGAGCGTGCCCTCACATCCAATATATAAATATATAATTATATAAATATATCAAAATATATAAATATATTTGTATTTATATATTTACACGTATATATATTTATTTGTATATAAATATAATTTATTTGTAACTTACTATCAAAAAATTCGAGTAGTTTAGTGGTTGGAGTATCGACCTCCAACACTAAGGTCTCGGGTTCGAATCCTGTCGATGACAAAAAAATAATTTGGTAATGCTTTAAACTTAAAAAAATATGATAAATAATAAAAATATAATATAAAAGAGAGAGGACCTAATAAAAATATAATATAAAAGAGAGGGGATTTCTAGATAAATAGAGGGGTTGGAAAGGTTGAAAATAAATAAAAAAATTTAATTTGAAAAATCAGACTTTCAACGTCGGTTCTATTTAACCGTAACTTTCAACGTCGTCTGATACAACGTCAGTTAAAGGCCTTATTTGTAGTAGTGTTGATGTCTTTCAAGTTCCTCATACCTTGCGATTTCTTGCTCCAGATCTCCAACGAATACACGGTTTAACTTTTGTAACACACTCTTAGCAATTTCCTCCACAATTTCAGATTACAACCTTCAATCACATAAAAGAAAACTTAAGTTTTGATAACAACGATAAATTTTGATAAATTCAAACTCATTACTTAAGAACTCAAACACCACTTGGAAGTTCCAAAGTTTTTGGAGAAGACGATGACAGAGAGTTTTGCATATTCTATAGCCCTAAGAACCGTCCCTGATATTTCATCCCCTCTCTCAAGGTTGCAGTCTATGTATGTATTGATATCCATCCTTTTGAAAGTAGCATGAAGATGGCTCGTGAAAGTCTTTCTTGTGTCCTCACCTCTGAAACTCAAGAACACCTTTCTTGCTGATTGCTGGAGGAGGAGGAGGATGCCATTATGTTTCAGACACCTTTCTCGTATCATAAAGATAAGAGTGAAAACATGTTCATATAAATAGTAATGAGAAAGAGGTAGCATAAGATGGATATGGTGCTGCATGTACGCTCTGGATTTTTCTATCCAAAAAAGTTTCCGGAGAACAATATTTTCTTTTTGAATAAATACGAAGATGAAAGAAGAAATTAGGAGGGTGTAAGAAGAAGGAGCCATTGAATTAGCGCATACAGGGCCCAAAAGGTTTTTAATCATTACCCAAAACAAAACTAAAACTTGGGTTTTTCATTGGGCTATTGTCTAGTATATAGAATTGAATAAAAGCAGCACTAACAAAAACATAAAATAAAAGCACTGAACTGAAAGGTACTGTAAGTACATTAAAAAAAAAAAAAAAGTCTAAAGTTTTAAAAGAATCAAAGGTAACAACTTTCAAAGTTTTACTCCATTTTAAAACTATAACTTCCACGAGACCATAGTTGATATGATTGAGCTTTAGCTAGAATATTGTTATTATCATGATTAATATATGATGAGTATATGTTTGAACATTCCTTTTACTAAGCATTATTTATAAATGAATTTATGAAATTTATTTCATTTTTAGTTTGTGCATAAATTAATTTTAGTTTAATTTTTTTCTAGTGTTTATGAAAAAATTAGTTCATACAAACTTCTTATAAAAAATAAATAACCAATTAGGAAAGAGCAGAGATGTTAAAATAGACTTAATTTAATAACATGCAGCAAAAGACGAAAAAAATAGGTTAGAATAATAAATTTATAACATAAATTGAATTAGACCTATTTTTATCCGATTTATTTAAGTCATGATTTACATAGACTTAGATCAAACTAATCCATAAGTTTATAGACAACTCATTTTTATAAAATAATAATTATTTTTTTAAATAAAAATAATATTAATTAAAAAATATATGTATTATAAATTAATTTGACAAAAAATTCACCTATTTTAAAAATAAATATTAAAATAAATTTTTAATAATCACTTATTTAAATAATTAATAATTAAGATTAATTATTATTTTAGACTAATAAATTATTAAAATAATAATTATAATAATAATAATAACAACGTGTAAATATTTAGTCCCTTATCTGTTGGCTTAAATTAAGTTAAAAAATTTAACTTATTTTAAAATATAAATTATTAAATTTTATTTACTTAGACTATAAGACAATATGAACCATATCAACCTAGGTTAACAAGAGAATACGGAATATGGAGGAAAAAAAAACTCACTCATAAGGCACGAGAATAATTAGTAGGGGAGAGAGAAAAAAAGGTAAAATATAAGAAATTAACTAAACAAGTTGAACAATTGAATTGAAGGTGTAACTTTTAAGTATTCTGCGCAGAGGAAAACTGACTGTATCCTTAACATTGATTATATTAATGACAAAATAACGTTGTTAACAATAATAAAAGCAACGTCTACAATATCAACAATAAGAGTCAAGATTATGATAACGAGGAGATGAAGCTTAGGAAATCATAATCTTAATATTTACATTACCAATAAATTCATCTTTAAAATCCTTGTTTAATATTCATCTGTTCCTATTTATGTGTTTTTAAAGTTGTTTTTGCAAATACGAAATATAATTTTTATTTTATTTTAATAATATAGTTATGTAGTTTCTTATTCTACCTTTATTACTTCTCACAATAAATATATTTAAAAATTAGAATATATATATATATATATATATATATATATATATATATATAATTGAAAAAAAAGAAGCTAATATAAATATTTTTTTCAAATATTCATTACTTGAAAAGTAACAAAAGAACTATTATTTTAAATTGCTGAAAAAGATAGTTTTATAAACAATATTATTTAATGAAAGTTAAATATAGTTAAAAATTATATATATATAATTGAAAAAAAAGGCTAATATTTGTTTTTTTCAAACACTCGTTACTTGAAAAGTAATTTTAAATTGCTGAAATAAATAGTTGTATAAACAATATTATTTAATAAAAATTATTCCTCAAATACATAACATGGCTCATGATAATGATTAAGAAAGGTTTATTTTGTGAGGAAGATGTATTAGTTAATCGATAAAAATAGTTTAAGTATTAATAATATTTAAGATCATTTATTTTTTAAAGAGTTAAAGGTCAAATTTAAAACTTTTAAAATTAACCATCAAAATACTTACGTGGTGGGTTAAATTCGAGAAATTTTGTCAAAAACAACTTATGCTCTAAATAAACTAAGAATAAACAAAGCTTGGATCCTAAATTATATATATATTTTATTTTATTTTATATCTTAATATTTTATTTTAAAATCTTATATTAGTTGAACGGTTGTGGTAATGATATTTTTTTATTATTTATTTTTATTTTAATAATTCAATTACGTTTTAAGAATTGATCACGTTTTAAGATGTCGTTTAAAGATGTTTGGATATTGGAGATTTTTTATAAATATTTTTGAACTTGATGATTCACTCACTCGTAGCATATATATTTGGTTATATCTTTGACAGTTCTCTCGATATTGGTGTCATTTACAACATTATTGGGAGATCTCTAACTCTCAACGACAATTAGATCATTGTTTGTCGTAGTGGAAAATTTAAAAGAAACACTCTCCACATTATCCTTGTGAAGGCGGTCAGTCGACACACCCTCTATCCACACCGATAACCCACTTAACAACTTCTCATAATCGGAAGAGGAAGAAAGGAAATAGTAAGTTATGATTACTTTATCGAGCAAGCACAAATTTACAATCAACAAAATGACAAGGAAACAAGCGAGTAGAGAAAATAAAATATTTGGCGAAGCAAAAGAGCATAAAGCACAAAACGGGAAAAAGACGTAGACATAGAAATCAAGGAATCTCCCACCCTAGCAATTAGATCTCACTCAATTTAACAGTTTAGATCTAACCCATACTTTTTGAAAATTCTTGCCTTTTCTCAAGCATCTCACTCTTGTAGTTGGGTTAACCGGATCCTTATCAGATGACGTGTAACCTCTTATTCACTCACACCAAAAACCAAATCATTATCAAGTGACGTATAAGCTCTTCGTCACTCACACCAAAATTTGAATCTTTATCAAACGACACGTAACGTTTTTGAGGTCGCTCGTTCCGAGCTTCGGGATACATATGTACCATAATGGCTCTTAACATAATAAGGTGCCACATAGTGAAATTCTGAGTCATGTCACCTAGTTATGCTTTTATAAATACTAGTAAGCTTTATAAAAAAGATAATGCAATTTTTATCTCTTAACCCCTGCAAGAGTATTTCTCTTATCACTGACTTGAACATCAGAGTATCTTTGCAAATACCCTCATCACTAGTTCTCATCACCGAGTTGCTCAAACTCAAGAACTTGCTTCCCAAGGTATTTGGATGAAAACTTCGAGGAGGTCAAATACACCAAAGAAGATAACATAAAGAGAATGTTAGTGCTCGGTCTTGAAAAAATAATAATAATATATATATATATATATATTATTTGATATCTCAATATTTTATTTTAAGATGTTATTGATTATATGGTTATAATAGTTTCCTTTCTTAATTGTCTATCTTCATTTTAATCATTCAATTCTTCTTAACACTTTATATTTCATTAATAATTAACATTAAAACACAAGTATTCTATCATAAGTTTCTCTATTTCCTTCTTTCATATTGTACACACATATTCTTTTAACAAGTCACTTCTAACTTACTCTCAAACACAATATTTATTTACAAATGTTAGTGCTCATAATATCCATGTTTTCTAGTAACTAGTCTTAACATCCTTTTGGATGAATATAAATTGTTCAAATCACTAAATCTATTAAAGATATAAAATGAGCAACTAAATTTAAACTCTCTTACAAAATGAATAAAAAAAATGAAAGTTTGTTTGAAATAACATTTTGATATTATGCACACCATTTATCATTTTTTTCTTTCTATTTTTTTATTATATACATATTCAAAACATAATTTTTGTAATGATTGTTCTAAAGTAATCACTAACTTATTTTGGCCATATTTTACCTTTATCTATTCTTCATTGATGATGCTTTCGTGTGTTAAAAAATATAAGTATTTCATATAAGATAATAAATTTTAAATACTTTATCTCTCACTCTCTACATGTTTGAACTTATGAGTTTTAAACAAAATGTCTTATGTTTTCTTTCACTAAGATTTTACCCTTTTTTTCCTGTATTTCTTCTTTATTTTTCTTGTATTTTTTTAAAAGTTTATCACCGTATATATGTTTTTATCTATTTTAAATATTGGACATAATTTTCATTATTTATAATTTTTTTCATTAGAAATATTCTATGCACACTAAAATAAATGGATCAAGTATTCATGTTCTACTAAACACGAACACAAATTCATTTTTGAATGAATATGCTAATAAAATTTTTCGCTGATTAGATGTCAAATATGAATTAAAGTTTGTTTATTCAACAGAAAGGCAAGTGATCCATCAAATAAATAATGTATATAAGAAAAAAATTGCATATAATTTAATCAAATGTTATATTTAAAGTATACTCAAATTTAAACTCTTCAAAAATATTAAAGTGATATGTTTGATAAACATGTAAACACCTTATTAAAATACATACAAATTTATAATCAAATATGTAAATAAATTATGATTTTTTAAAGATAATTATTAAATATTTATTTACACTTAATAAAACATCCATCTCATAAATTAAAATTTATCCAAATCAAGGATTTAATAAATATTAACCTTATAAACAAGAGTAAGAATAAAAGGTAAATTTAAACTTTAATATATAGTCGTTTTCTTCGATATAACTTTGCTACAATTTTATTTAATAATAATAATAATAATAATAATAATAAATATAAAATTTAATAAAAATATGATTATAATATATATTAAATGGGTAGTTGAATAATTATTAATAAAAAGTTATCAGCATACTATTCTTCTAAAACTTAAGAACACACAAGCGTAAGATATATAAGAAATTATATCAAATTAATAATCCGAACGAAGGATATTTTTAAAGAGATAAATGAGGATATAGATAGAAATGAGAATTCTCTACACATACGTAAATCTTAATCAACTGTATTTTAAAAAAAGATTGAAGGTTGAAATCATGATCAACATTTCTAACTAATTAGAATGCAGTTATATTTAATTAACTTAACTACTTTAATTATATGAATTTTAAAACAACTTAATTGTCTAAATTTAAAATTATTTTTAAATAAATAATAATAATAATAAAAAACCTACAGCTTATCCTCCCCTAAAGAGGTTATCCTACTTCTAAAATACTTACTAGTGGAAATAATTAATTTGGATTGAAACATAAACTATTACAAAAATATTAAAAAATTAAATTACGAGAATCATGATGTCATATGTATTTTTATGAACATAATTATTTAACATTTTAATTAAAAACTATTCATATATAAAAGAGAAAAAAACAAAAAAACACCTATATGTAATATGGCTACTTCAACAAAATAAATAAAATAAAACAATGAAACGTGACATATATTATTTCTTTGTGTAGCAAGTACAATTATTTGTTCTTATTTTTTTTAATGGAAACAAAAGAGGTCTACATAAATAAATGTAAAAATAAAATAAAAGAGTGTACTTGAAGTTGTTGTCATGGGAAGAGAAGAGTTGGGGGAGAAAGAAAGGTGATGATTGGTGCTGCTTTTTAATATTTCAACCACCGACTTAACCACACATTCGCTCTTTAAATCGTCTCTTCAATTTCTCTTCCCCATGCCAGATATTTCTCCGCTGTAAATCTCTCACTATTTCTTAACTCCATGTAATAAAAAAAAAACAAAAAAAACTTTACACCAATCATATCAATATATTCAAATAAATTATGGAAAATTCAGAATTCAAAGTCTTCAAAATGTATTATAAATAAAATTAATTTATAGTTCAAGGTTGAAATAAAATCAATATTTTATGTTATGCACAACTTTTGGTAAGTTTTATTGTTGGAATTGATTGAAATATAACTTAAACACATTTAATGGTGCAGGACTAATTTTATTAAACTCCAAATCAAATGTTACTTAAACTTGAATTGTGTATTATTTCCTTAGTTTGGGAGATAATTTAAGTCAAATTCAGAAATATAATGTGAGTGTACGGTGTACCTTTTCTGATGCCAGTAACGTAAATGTACCTTTAATAGGTTGTTCAGAATTCTGGAAATTGTATTTTTGGCCCCCATATTATTTTATTTTTATTTTTATTGCATTATAAATGTGAAATTCATTTACTGGATTGATGGATAACTAATTTTAGTTTGATTCACTAGATGACAATATAATGTAATGCCGTGTATGTATTTTTGTTAATATTATAAATATCACCGGTGAATAGAATAAAGTTACATAATTAAAATAATAAAATGAATTAACAAAAAAGTAAGAAAAAAAAAGAAAAAGAAAAAGGAATTGAATAAAGCCTTCAATATTTTCCCTATTATTTATATATAATGGATGTTGTTGAACATATTTGTCCACAGGGTACTGCTTCCACTACAGCACTGAGGTGTAGCCACAACCCTCTCTCAGAAAATTCAAAAATCAAAATGTCATATCGATATTTATCTATCTCTTAGCCCTCAGCATCCAAGTGTTCCACCTTAAACTCTCGGTCTCTCTGACTCACTCTGTTTCGGTGTTTCTCTCCCCTGTTATCTCTAAACATTGAACGTGATTTCTGCTACTTTTTCGCGTGTGCATTTTCCTCCCTTCACAGCTACCACTGGCAGATTCGGTGTTATTGGACTCGTCCATACAACCCCTTCCGCAGCCACGTGCAGAGAGTCAAACCCAACCCTCTCCTTTTCTCTCCAAACCCAACAAAAAACACAACTTTTCTCCACCCCATAACAACACAAAAGGCAAACTTTTCCGCTCACAATTCGGCTGAATTTTGGACCGAGATGGGTGCAGGGGACTACTACAAGATCCTCAAGGTGAACCGCAATGCCACGGATGAAGAACTCAAGAGGGCATATAAGAGGTTGGCCATGAAGTGGCACCCAGACAAGAACCATCAGCACCACCCTGTTACGAAAGAAGAAGCTGAGGCCAAGTTCAAACAGGTTTCGGAGGCTTATGATGTTCTCAGTGACCCCAAGAAGCGCCAGATCTATGATTTCTATGGCCACTATCCCTTGAACTCTATGAAGGTGAATGAGGAGAACGGTGATGGGGATGTTAGGGTCCCCAAGAGCGAGAAAGTTGGAGTGGTTGAGAGCAAATTGGTGTGCACCCTTGAGGAACTTTTCAAAGGTTGCAGAAAGAAATTGAAGATCTCAAGGACGGTTCCTGACGAATTCGGGTAATATCTGTGTTTTCATCTTGCTATTCTTGTCTTAATGCTTGCATTAGTGGTGGAATTTTATGTGTGAATTTGTAGTTTTATTTGTTTTGCCGGTGAATATGCTTTGATTGAATTGTCGATTTGTTTTCATGTTGCCTTGGAAATATTTTGTTTGGAATGTATTAGATTAATTTTAGCTTATAAAAAAAATCAATTTAATGTTTATGTGCCATGACGTTGATTGAATTTGTAATAATTCCGAAATTCTGATATTCATTGGTTGGGATTACACTATACTTGAATGGATGGATTCTTGCCCAATATTTTGGCTCATGAATCTTTTCCTAGTAGAAAAGAATCCAAGCCCCAATTTCTGTATTATTGTGTAATTTCTTGGACAATTTACATTTGACTTGATGATATGATTTATTAGCCCCATTTGATTCATTGACATATTTTTCTTCTTACTTTGTATTCCGCTTCTGGTTTGGCTGTTTTCTCTTTTGGCTTTTCACTGACTATGCCTTATCACCGACGCTTTGGCAGGGACACATGTGTAGCCACATGTGGAGAAAGAAGAGATCTTCTGTTATTATCTTTTATTATTTTGGGATTCGCGTTGTATCTCTCATGTATTTTAGTCGTATAGAAACAAAGTGAAACTATTAATTAATAAGTCGAATAAAGTATGCTGGTTTTGCAGAGATACTGGAGTTTTAGGTTTCTTTTGTGGTGGACTTGAAGTGAATAAAAGTTGTTTCAAATAGGTCCTATTTTCTATTACCTTTCACCATTTGAGCCTGCTTGGAAATACGTGGTTTTGGGTTCAGGAGTTTCCTCTTTTTGGTTTTTGCAGTAAGTTGAAGACTGTGGAAGAGGTGTTGAAAATAGATATCAAACCTGGTTGGAAGAAAGGCACAAAAATAACATTTCCTGGGAAAGGCAACCAAGAAGCAGGAGCTAGTGCCCCTGATGATCTAATCTTTGTGGTGGATGAGAAACCACATGCTTTATTCAAGAGGAATGGAAATGATTTGGTTGTGACACACAAAATCTTACTTGTGGAGGCTCTAGTGGGAAAGACTCTCAACTTGACAACCTTGGATGGAAGAGAGCTGACAGTTCAAGTGACAGATATTGTGAGACCAAAATTTGTGTTGGTGGTTCCAAATGAAGGAATGCCCATCTCAAAGGAACCTGGCAAGAAAGGAAACTTGAGAATCAAGTTTGATGTTATGTTCCCATCAAGGCTTACCACACCGCAGAAGCATGAGCTGAAAAGGATTTTGAGCAACACTGATGACTAATTCAGTCTTGTATGCCTTGTGGCTTTTTACCAAATTAACACACTTGAGGTGAGAGATCAGTTTCCAATGTAAATACTTAATACACCTTTAGTCTTTGACATGAAAAATGTGCATAATACCAATAAACCAAGCATGTTACTACCATGTCTGCAGTATGGTGTAATTTTGGAATAAAGCAATTTCAGCTCCTGAAAGGGTCTTGGATTGTGTTTGATCAACATTACAATGCATTATTGAATGGATGGGAATGTTTGCAGTCCTGATATATTTATTTGCATTTCTTTTTCACTTTTTAATTCTATTCATATTCTAAAATTTTTACTTAAATAACTTTTAGACTAAATAACATTACATTTTTAAGGACAGCAAACAAAGAAATATCATTAGATAAAAAGTAGTAACTGCAAAAGACAGGAGGAGGGGGCAGAACCAAATATAATAAAGAATAAACTATTTGAATCTACAGTTTTTATAATATGATCATATCTATTCCTATTCAGGTCACTAGCTATCCTATTCAAGTCACTAACATTGAATTGAAGGCAAAACCAAATCCAACCTAAGAAAAATACATTTAATTTTTATTTTCACAAAAATAAAAAACTACAATTCCGATGGAGTACTTTGAATGCTAAAACCTTTCTAATAACATGTTTAGGAAATAAAAATTATTTTTATTATTAAGGCAAATTACTCACCATACCTACTAATCAAACTATACTGTTTTTAATCTCTATATTTAAAAATTATTTATTTGTTTTTATGCATGCTATTTTTATTTCTTTTTTCTCCTATAGAAGATAGACACAATAGATTAAAACTAATATGTGGATCTAATAAAAAAGTTACGTGTAGGATTAAAATTATATATAAGGATTAAAATGAATGAGTTTTTAGTATATAAATCATATAATTACAAGAGTTAAATGAATAATTATCTTTTATTAAAAAAATAAAATAAAGGCAAGTTTAGAGAATACAATAGAGCGTAAAACTATAAATATATATATTTTTAAATATCAATTAAACATTTTTTTTAGCAAGTATCGAATTCCACTCTTTTGTTAATATATATTTTTGCTTGGTTTATAGAAGAAAAATTTAATGGTTCTCTGCATTTATTGGTTGTGTTAAACAGAGGCTTGTTTATTTATTACATATATGCTTAGTATGAAAATGACCTAGTCTCAAAATATTTCCTTGTATGCTTTTTCTTTTTCTTTTTCAAAGAGAACTGTCTTGTTTCTCTAATAATGTTGATAGTAGTTGATATCACTAAACAATCCATGGATGTGACCTTTGAATACATATATTATATAGAGATTGGATGCATCAATGACCTTTCATGTCGTTTTTCATTCATGGCTAAAAATCAGCACCGACACATTGCAAATTACAAATAGGCCTAAATATTAAATTGTGATGATGATGAGTGTTGAACAATGAAACTTGTTTTTATTTGAAAATAATGGTACCAACTTATTCAGCTTCCCATGAGTTGTTGGCTTTTCCTTTTATTATGTTTTCAAAAAAAAGAAAATTGGACAAAACTAGAATCCACGAGTGAACGAAACATGATGAGAAACAACATTCTGGAGGAGACTATCATGTATTATCTGGTTGTGACTAGATGAAAGGTTATGCCTTGCTGATTTTATTTGAGTGCAGGATCACACATTTATTTTCTGTGTTGCTCAATCAACCTTTGTAGCTCCTCCTTTTTTACTCCCACCACTTTATCAGTCACTTTTCCTTTTTTGATTAGCATGAAAGTTGGCATTCCCTGTACTTGGAAACTTTGTGATACCTCCTGTTTTCATTTTTACACAATAAATCCAAATCATTTTTAAAATATAAAAACTAACTAACTCATTTTATCCATAATAAAATTAGGAACTAACGAGTTAAGTGAAAAGGATCAAGTGCTTATACCAGTAACTCGTCCACATCAATCTTCACAAACTCAACATCTCTGAATTTGTCAGCAAACTCTTGGATAACTGGGTCCATGACTTTGCAAGGTTTGCACCATGAAGCAGTGAAATCAACCACCATCTGTAGCAAAGCAAAATGATCTCAGTAAAGCCAATTTTTTTCTTCTGGGGTGAAAAGTATAACAAAAAATTTCACCACTTTAATATGATACACTAATTAAAACACAAACCAGTTTGTTAGTTTGTTTCAACGCATCGAAGTGAGCATTCCATTTAGCAGAGGAGTGGAAGGTAAGGACTTGAGATGAGAATGAAGTTGATCTATCACCATACACCATAGCCATGTCAAATAAGTTGGATATCCCACGTATGTTAATGGTTCCTTTCTTCTAAACCAAAATTGCTTATGATCCTGTATGAATCAAGGTGAAGTTAAAAAAAAAAAAAAAAAGAGGTTCTTTGTTTTGGATGATGGAAAATTAAGGTGGATGGAGAGGCTTATATATAGACTAACAAAGTAGTGGGAAAATATGATATGATTTTCTGAAACGTATCAGATTCTTTTGTTTGTGGCAAGCTGTAAACAGACCCTCAAAGCTAGCTAGTTTATGGGACACAATTGAGAGCATAAGTTTATGCAAAAATCGATGGTCCCGACATCATTTTCGTCCCATGATGTTTATATGAAAGTACATTTACCTCTTTCAAATTCCCATTTTCTTGTATTAAGGTTTCCTTTTCTAGACAAAGGTTTATCATCCTTGGGTATATAAGAAGGTTCTGAATGTAGCACATGTTAGTTAAATTGAATTATTGTGATCCTGATTTTGATTTTAATGATTAAACATAAACGTAATTCCATACTGATAAATATGTTGTAAACTGAATGCGAAAGCGTACCTGAATTAGTCATAATGATGATGTCTTTGTAGAACACTATATTGATCTTATGGTCTTCCACCTGAAGATCACCTGTATTTCCCTCTTGATTTTCTCTCTTAATAGGGATAGAAAGAAAGGAATGAGAATGAAACTTACGTTTTGTCTACGTGCTCCCAGAAGGGGACCATGACCCCTTAAAATAACCAGAATTACGTTAATTACTTAAGTTTTAGTATTTCTAATTTGGCCCCTCATCAAATCAGAAATTGCTTTATGGTCTCTATACAATTTTATTTTGATGACATATGCCTTTAGCCAAACTTTTTAATTTAGTCAGATCACTTTATTATTTGGCTTAATAAATAATGGTTCTAACACATTTAAATTATATATCATATATATACATGACCCAAATTTTGCCAACAATCTCCCACTGGTCACAAATATATATGTCCTTACAACCTTACAAATGTGTTGGACTTTATGAGTTCAAAATTGTTATTATATTCCTTTAACATACTCCAAAAGTCATGCCCATTAATCATATCAGGATATAGAACCAAACCAGTTTTTTATTGCATCATCGTAACTAAAATCAATAATGATTATTCATCCTAACATAACCAAATGACATGGATTCATCATGAAATATGTAGCATGAAAAATTATGTGAAGGTGATCTGTGCACGCCTATTTTCAACTGGTCCAAACTTTAACTTATCGAGATCGATATAATAATCTTAATGTACAAAGTGTAATGAATGAACGAAAAACCGCATATCTATAAATAACCAAATATGTCCAAAAAAATAATAATTAATGCATACATACATGAAATTAAACATAGAACATAAAATATATGAAAGTGACTAACTCCCACTAAACCACAAATTCTTCAAACTATAAAACACTCATGTGAGCAACATGCTCATGAAAGACCTTGGGCGGAAGTCCTTTAGTTAGAGGATCTGTTATCACGGATGTTGTCCCTAATTGTTCTATGGAAATCTGTCAACTCTGTACTATTTCCTTAACAATACAATTGATTTGTTGTCACAATATAACTTAAGTGATCTTTCAATATCTTTCGCAATTTACAGCCCTATGACAAAATTTCCCAGCCATATTCCATGATTTAATGTCTCATAGCATGCTCTACAAATTTTTCTGCCATAGTGGATGAAGTTGTAAGGGTTTGCTTGACACTGTGCCAAGAAACCGCACCACCTGGCAATATGAAAATGCAATCTGAAGTGAATTTCAAACTATCTTGACATCCTACAAAGTCCAAGTCAGAAAACCCAACGATCTCAAATTAGTCTGACCTCCTGTATGTGAGCATATAATCTTTTGTTCTCTTTAAATATCTCATGACTCTTTTTGCTGCTTTCTAATGGTCCATTCTTGAATTGCTTAAATATCTGTCTAGAACCCCAACTATGTATGCTATGTTTGGACGTATACATACTTGGACATATATCAAACTCCTCATAGCTGATGCATAGGGAATCTTTTGCATTTCCTCAATTTCCAAATTCTCCTTTGGGCACCGATTGAGACTAAACTTGTCCCCTTTTAAACTTGTGATACACACAATCATCAACAATATTCATCTCGAAGCCAAATGAGAGAATTACTTGATAAAATTTGTAGTACCATTGACGAGATGTTTATTTTAGTCCATAAGTGGATTTTGTTAGTTTGCAAACCATATTCTTTGAATCTCTCTGCACAAAATTTTCTGGTTGTACCATATAAGTCGTCTCATCAATGTTGTCATTGAGAAACGCCGTCTTGACATCTATTTGATGAAGCTCAAAATCATAATGTGCTACAAGAGCCATGATTGTCCTAAAAGAGTCTTTCGATGAAACTGGAGAGAAAGTATCTTTAAAGTCAATCCCTTCCTTTTGGGTATAGCCCTTAGCTACCAGACGAGCCTTATACCTTTCATTTCCACATTACCTTTAGAATCCCGTTTGGTCTTAAATATCCACTTGCAACCAATGGGTTTCATACCTTCTGGCAATGGGACAAGTTCCCAAACCTTGTTATCTTGCATGAACTTATACTCATTTTTCATTGTTTTAATTCACTTCTTAGAGTTAGAACCTTGCATAGCTTGATGAAAGTTAACTGGGTCATCTTCCATCATACCATTGTTTTCCTCATGTTCCTGAAGAAATACCATGTAACCATCTGAAATAGAACTTCTTTCTCTAGTGGATCTCCACAAAGTTATTGGCTCATGATACACAGGTTCTTGAGGATCTTGAGTTTGTTCTTCATGAACAACCAAATCATCTTGAGTAAGGGGTTCATCAACAATGTCTTGTGGAGGTTCCGAACTTACTTTATCAAAAGTAACTATTTGAATCGGTTCTGAAATTGTTACCGATTCTTCCTCCAAGATAAAGTTATTATTCTTATTCTTCCCCCCAAACTCAATATCCTCAAAGAACATAGCAGTTTCCGTCTCAAAAATTGTCTTTAATGTGGGATCATAAAATTTATATCCCTTGGATCTTTCAGCATAACCAATAAAATAACTACTTACTGTTCAGGAGTCCAATTTCTTTTCATTTGGCTTATAAGTCCTTGTCTCAGCTGGACAACCCCACACATGAAAATGCTTCAGACTAGGTTGTTGCCCAGTACAAAGCTCATAAGGTGTTTTGGTAGCTGCTTTAATTGGTACTCTATTTAAAATATAATTTGTCGTTTTTAGTGTCTTTCCCCATAGTGATTCCGGTAAGGTGGAATGACAAATCATTCTCCTTATCATATCTTTAAAAGTGTAACACAAGCTCAAGCGCCACGATTTGATTGTGACCTGAACACTTGTGTCATAATGCAACCTGAGTGAGTATTTTCAATTTTACGTTTAGTACCACATGATTCTGTATTAAGGGTTTCATTATAGGTGGCCACAATATCAAGTAAATACTGATTATCATAAGCCAAAAGTGAACCAGTTCCAACAATATCTGAATTAAAAAACAAACTGAACTTATTGTTTCCAAATGAACACAAATAACCTAATTTGTCCAAATAAGAAACTGAAACCAAATTTCGTTTAAATGACGGCACAACAAAAATGTCTTTCAAATCCAAATAAAAATCAGTACTCAATAACAATTTAAAATGCCCTATAGCTTCCACCTCTACAGATTTGCCATCTCCAACATATATCCATTTTTTTTAAGAATCAATTGGCTTTCGGTAGCTTGGGCAACCCTTCATAGAAACACTGATGTTAGTATTTGCACCTGAGTCTAACCACCAAGTGTTACTAGGTACTGACGCTAAATTAACTTCAGAACAGACCAAAGTAAGAAACATACTTTTGAGGATTGGAACATAATTTAAATTGGTAGATACAGAAACAATTGTAGTTGAATTTAGAACACGAGAAATAAACTAATTATGCTCACATTATATAAAAAATAAATAATTATAAATATATATTCAAATAATGGTTTAACCTATCTCAAGACACCCAATGCACCATCAATATCAAGTCTTTGGACAGTAATATTAACTGCTAGAGGTATCTTGTTGTAATAATCAAACATTGATAATAAAGCACGTCCAACAACAAACCAGTCTTTGGATTGATTTACCATCGACAAAGCAAATTCTTATAATTATCACATGTTTATCATTACAAGTGTGTATGCAATTCAGCCAAATATTAATCTTCTTTTGGGCCGACTAATACTCGCATGAATATACACAAACACTAACATTCAATATTTTTCATGTACTGTCAAATTCAAGAGAGGTTACTTTGATGACTTATTGACTCAATTTGCTCACAAAAAATATTAAACTACCAAAAAATTGAATATTTTATTTATATAACAAAACCAAATATTTAATATTTGCAAACTAATTCAAAAGATAATCACCTCATTAGAATTCCACTAAGGATGAACGCCTCCCTAGAATCTCATTAGGGATGAACGCCTCCTTTGAACAAATCAAAGGATGAAAAACACCTCATTTTCCACCAACACATAAAGAATGAACATCTCCCTAAAATCACACTAGGGATGAAACATAGATAGTTCCGAGTCTCTTTAACACACTCGCTTCTAAATCTTAAAAGAGGATTAAACAGTAATCACTCAAACCCTAAACAGGGAATTTAACATCAACTTCCCTTAAATCCCTAGAGGATAAAGGTAATAAAATAATAACAGTCACACCTGTGGAAACATTCACCAGTTACCTAAGATCCTCTGTGTTGGGAACTCCACAAACACCACCCCCAATTCCAAACCCATCCATATCCACCATGAAAAGAAAATGAAAACAAAACCCAAAAAATCAAACAAAAACAAAAACAAAAGATTCAAAGAGAACAGAAAACCCAATACAAGAAATATTAAAATTTGAAACACTATTTCTTTCTCAGTAAAACTTGAAACTTAAAACTGAAACAAAAGGGAAAAACGAA